CAGGAAGTAACTCACAAAGTCCATGAAAAACGTAACACTCCTTTCTTCATGCAGCCGAGATATTGGAACAGACACAAATAGTGGGTCAGTCATGAAGATAATGTGTGAGCATGGAATCTGATGATGATGCGAATATCACGGTAAGGAATCTGGATTAGATGCATCAGTTAGGAATTTGCCAAGGGATTTGGGATAGCGGCGTACTAAGAAATCATAAACAATCAGAGCAAGAAGGGGCGGAAGCAGGGAGATACAAAGGCAAACGAAGAAACAAAAAGGGAAAAAAGGAAAATAAGATGTAAAAGAAAACAAATAAGTATGCATTATCATAACCTTTCATGCGACATTCCACCATTATTAGTTGCTTAAAACTGACAGTTTATAAAAATGCTATTTCAACAGTTAAAATCAGTTACAGAGTTTTGAAAATAACTTGTCATAATTCCAAGTATCAGAATACATGAACTGTATGTAACTAAAGTCCCTATTCTAAAAATAATAATTGCGATGTATAAATTTTATTATTAAATACATTAAATGCATTAATAAAAAGCACGCATTTACTACTACAATAATTTATAATGAAAACATGACAATCTGCCATATAAAAAGGAATATATTCAAATATACTGATAGAAAAATTCCTGAATGCTTTAATTGTAATGTTAAATAGTACCGTCATTGGAAACAAAAGGATTAAAAATTCTGTGAAACGTTTATCTTTAGATTCGATATTACAAAGCATTTTCTATTTTTTCCCTTTTTAATATCCACACATTACTGTTTTATCATCGTTATAAAACCATTTAAAAGGTCAAAAAAGTGAATGTACAAAAGGGGAGAATTCAACATCGGTGAATATATGACAGGTTGTCGCGCACAGTTTATCATTTCCCAGTTCCATTTTTCTCATACAACTCCGTCCTGCAAAACTCGTGTTCTCTATTTACAATATTTCCAGGGCCCACTTCGTTTCTGTGTTCCTGAGTTTCGCTCCCACTCGTGCCTTAATTACTAAGTCAATTCATTAAATCTGAGAAAGGGGTGCTCCGGCCGACTAGACGGGATGAGAGGAGACTTTCCAGCGCAGTAGAATTAAACGCTAACGAAACAAGCCGACGCGGGGGCGGGGGGCCGGTCGCGTAGGTGCGGGGGCAGGGGCCGCGCGGGGGGGGGGGGGGGGGGGGGGAGGGAGGGGGGCAAGACCGGACCAATTCATATTCTATGAATTTTCTTCCGGCGACGCGAGACGCCGAGGGGCCGGGGATTAAGAGATCGCGAGGCGACGAATTTATTGAGAGTGGAATCCTTGTAGCCCTCGGGAGGAATGCGAGCCAGGCGAAGACTCTTTTGTAATGTTGCAAATGCTGGCATTGAAAAGAATATAAAGAGATTGAAAAATTTAAAAATATTCTTAAACAGGCGGGATAGGGGAGAAGAGAGTAATATAATTTTTATAACAGTGCTGTGTGTGTTTATTTGCTCTCATCTGTTGTTTTGTGGAAGATAATGAATTAGTACCGAACTTTGGATTACATTTTGTGCAACTAGAACCGTATGAGGTCTGTTATTTCTCTGAAATCAAATAACAACAGAGATGTTTTACCTTCTATTAACAGGAAATGAAGAATAAACTCTCTTCTGAGAAATAATTTTGCAGTTGCTTGTATGGAAACCTTTTTGCTTCAGTACATTTTGTTATAACATAATGAACCCTTTGTCGTAATAATATATGTAGGCATTTTATAAATAGATATGTTCATAAAGTGGGGCACTAAGTAGGTATTACAATTATTAAATATTTGGAATAGTCATTAATTTCGTAGATGTCAAGAAAGAATTGTTGTGAATATCGTTTTCAGGGTGTCATATACACACCGTAAAAAGCAACAATAAAAAACCACGCAAAAATAAACCTTTTCTTATTTCTTGAAGAAGCAAAAAATGGAAAAACCCAACGCTTTCTTAATTAACTTCGCTGCTCACGCGCAACATGTCTGCCTGAGCCTACTTGATGCCTGCGCCTGCCTGAGAACCCTTTCGTTTCGAGCTGGATGAATCCCACTTCGCGCAAACGCCAGGCCTTGCACTAAGCTTATTAACCCTTCATTTCCCATTTTGTACAAAGTTTTCAAGTTTTACTGACTGGGGAATTTGTATATCCACTATTGTTATCAAAAGAAATGCCTATTTTATTTTAATTTTTTTACTATTATGAGATTATGATTACGTCGGTTGAAATAATAGTCGTTCCTATTTGCGTGCTGATTGCGGCATAAACATTCTGAATATTCACGTAGTTTTTTAGACAAAATATGCTTAAAGTTGTTCTAAGAGCTTATTTGCGAAGTTTCGACGCTTCCTTCCCAGATGCCCTTTCTATTAGTAGATGTTCGCACATCTAAGTGTTTTTTTTATCGTAGAAGGTTTATACACTGTTCATATTGATGTAACGTTACTAAATGGCGCTGCAGCACAAGACAGCGCCTTATTTTATTTCAATTTCCATTCCCACTGCGCCCCACCTGGGATTAATTGTTGCTGTGCGTTTACGTGTTCCGTGAAAGCCGTGCACTGCATTGTCGTTGTTGTGCAAGGCCGAATATGACAGGACAGGCGGCGCGCGCAAGAGAGAGAAAGAGAGTGAGGAGAGAGAGTGAGGAGAGAGAATGAGAGTGTGTGAGAGAGAGAGAATTTTAATACTTATCAATCCTGTGACATCCCTCCTCTGTGTCAGAGATAGGGAAACAGAAATAAGTGACAGAGTCCGAGATAGACACAGAGAGACAGTCAGAGAGACCGAGACAGAAAGAGAAAGCAGAAGGATACAGAGAGGATAGAGAGAGAGAGAGAGGGAGAGAGACAGAGGGCAGGGACAGAGATACAGATACAGAGACAGGAATAGAGGCAGAAAGAATACAAAGACAGAGAGACAGGGATAGCGATATAGAGACACAATAACAGACAGGGAGAGATACACAAAGACAGAGAGACAGAAAAAGTGGCACAAAGACAGGGAAACAGAGAAACTGGGAGACACAGAGACAGACAGAGAGACAGGGAGGCAGAGACGGACAGAGCGACGGTGATAGAGACGAAGACAAAGTGACGGAGACAGAGAGACAGTACGAGAGACAGAGAGACAGTGCGAGAAAGTGACAGAGACGGAAACAGAGAGAGAGAGAGAGAGAGACGGAGACAGATGAGAGTCAGAAACAAAGAGACGGAGAAACAAAATGAAGACATAGAGACAGAGACAGAGAAAGAAGAAATCAGAGAGAAAAATACAGAGAGAGAGAAACAGAGATGAAAACAGAGAGACGAGATGAAGACAGAGAGAGGAAGACCGAGAGAAAATAATAGAGACGAAAAGTGAGAGACGAAAACAGAATTTTAATGCGATTCTTTGATGTTGTATTCACCATGCTTTTATCAAACTACTTGAGACTTTCCAACCCTTTTACTAGAAACCCAACCTGTGTGGGGAAAGTTCCTGCCAGATGAAAAAATGAGTAGACGAAGTCTAGAAATATTTCTGATTATATTCGTCATATTTTCATGAAATCGTCGTATAAATCCAAAGAAATAAAACCAATTGGTTCTCATTATGTGCATTCCAATTAATTATCAGTCAGGACGATTTGTTTTCTCATCAATTCAGAACAATTGAATGCTTTAAAGAGCGGGAGAGTGGGCGATGAGACACCTCTGTTTTACAGTCTAATTCATTTTTTTCTTATTTGGGTACTTAACTTGTGATTGAAGTTCTGTTTCGTATATGTGGCGACTTTTTTCGAATTGAATAACTTCACAAGTTTATTTTGCATACTATATTCTTGAATTCATGAATATCTGCGAACGATCTTGGACTTTTCTGATCGTCTTCGGGCACGTTGTTAACACCAAAACATCAATAAACAAAATCGCTTAGGCTATAAGCTAGATATCCTAGTTTTTAAATCACTTCCTTCGATGTCCCTGCTCTGAAACGCAGTGCGTCCCGGAGACGCCCACATCGCCATCGTCCCGCAGGCGCACTGCTGCCGTCGCCTTCGTCGCCCCACCGGCTCCCCCTATCGCCCCATCGCCCCGTCGCCCCGTCGCCGCGCGGGCCGCTAGTACACTTTATTACATTCCGGGGAGCCGAGAGCCGCTCCCTGGCAGAGCGCTATATTGGATAAATTTCAGATTCTGATCAGCGCGTCTTCGCCATCCGCATCCGTTGTCTCTGTTGAATTCAAAACCAGCGCCTTCGTTCGCTCGCAGACTATGGACCCGGCGACATGTTCGCTCGCTCGCGCCCTCTCCTCCCCCCTTCACCCTCCCTCGGGACTTCTTTTTCTGTTTGTGTTTTCGACACCCGACGCTCAGGTGCAGAATACGATGACGTGAGAGAAAAGCACAAATAATACAATGGGGGATATCAGTCAAAGTGAATTTTAGAATAAGGTAGTGCTTCTGAAAAAGAGTTTCAAACATTGCTGTCTAAAATTTACTCCTTATAAGATTGATAATTCTGGAATGTGTTCCATATTTAATTTAAGAGTATATACGCTTTTATATTTCATTAAAATATTTTGTCTATTCTTTTCCGATTCTAGCTAATTAACAACAAACTCAATTAAAATAATACCATGTGACGTTTCTCAAAATATTTATCAGTGTTTAAGAATAAAAGTACTAATTGCATTAAATCAATTCGAATTTACTTCATTCGTACACATTAAAATAGAGAATGTTGAAAAATGGTTTTATCCATTTCTGTGAAAACGTTATTTCCAACATTTTTCGTATATACAAAGCATAGTTTGTATGGAATGCCAATCTAACGCGTGTAAAAACAGAAAGGGAATTTATGCGACACCCTAACTCAGTGTGCGACTATCCATCTCCACATGGCATACAGGAGAAAATTCCTTGACATCTAGGTATGAATTCTCACCAACTGAGGCGAAGTAAACTTGCCACCTGAAGACAGCATGACGCATTAAAGAGTTTACTCAAGTTGTAGCTTGAGTTTCACCTTTCATCAGACGTGCTGGCGTGAGCAACGCTTCCGATTGGAGCTGGGGGTGGGAGGGGGGAGGAGGAGGGGCGAGGCGGCTACTCACGTTCTTGGGGTGCGCCGTGCGCGGGGAAGTCGCCCCCGCAGCCTCCGCGCCGCCGCCGCCAGGCTGCGCCACCGCCACCCGCCCCCGCGTGCGGTACTGCTGCAGGCGCGCACGGGCCTCGTCCAGCTGCGACGTGATTGGCTGCAACACACCGCGCGCGCCGGCTTCATTCACTCGCCCCAATTCCAATCAAAATAGAGCTCGTCCCAAGGAATAAAGGCGGCTCTACACATTCGTGGCGAGCGACCGTTCGCCGAATCCCGCGTGGTGTGGACGAGTCGCTTGCCATTTGCCGAGCGACGAACTGCGGTACTCGCCCTACCCACCGCGTGTCGGTCCTTTTCACACATCAAAGGAAGCGAACATTTGCCAAACACATCAGCTGTTCAGGATTGGAAGAACTGTCGCTCGCAACTTGGCGAATGTGTGGAGCCGCCTTAAGGCAACGTTTTGGAGTCTTCAGAATTTCGACAAGAGCTTTAAAATTTCTACGGAACAGTAAATCACATTAACCTGATTGTTTGCTTTCGTCAAATATAAATAATTTGACAGCAATTTATTCAAATTTTACAAATATCAATGTCACATATAGTTTATTTGGGCAATATATCATATGCCTTTACAAAAACGTAAATAACACAATAAATCAATGTCCAATTTGTTGCACATTAATTTTTGTACTTTTTCGTACATATTTTTGAGTTATGGTGTATTTTTTATTGGGTTTTAAAAGTGAATAAACATGATTTATCACTTGTTTTCTAATGAGCGATATTTAGATATAATATTCCTGTCATTAAAACATATTAAATTTTTCTGCTTCATTAAATTACTTTTCCATATATTTACACGTGATGAATGTTCTTTCAAAACATTACTTGACTTCAATTTTTGCATACGATTTCGTTCATTTTAATTTCCGTTTGGTTTCATTCAGTACAATATTGAAAGTGAAAACAGAAGAATCGTCTAATTCTTGTGACTTTATTTCTCTCTCCCTCCCTCCCTCTATACCTTCATATACAGGATCTTTTGGGGGAGGATCGCGAGAGAGGTGTGGAGGGGCTGGAGGGGAGTGCACATGCGGTAGAACAGCAAGAGCAAAGCTCAGATAGCTTGGCGGATCGTGGATGGGAGGTTGGGACGAGACCGCTGAGTGGAGCTGTGCGGGTTGAGCTGGAGTTGGCGGTGTCGTAAAAACTCTTACTTCCAATTTACACTTTATTTTACAAAAATGAATATAATAGAATTAATACCTATTTTGTTTATTAAAAGAGTTATTACTGGGTTATGTCAGACAGAAGAAATTATAATTTTCAATCCTGTTGTATTTTACAACTATTAAATTTTTCATATGACTTGCAATAGTTACCATTCCGCTTACAAATATAACTACTTCTTAAAAGTATTACGTATATTATCATTTAACATTTCTACAGTCAATAAAGAAGATAAATTAATGTATTAATTTTTGCACGGATTTTTGGTTAACCTTACAAAGCCTCTTTCATGCAACTAGATGTTTTGTAAGAATAATTACTACATCCTTTAAAACTCTCCTTTTAATGATACAGTGTTTATCCAGCAGAATCGTGAAGTTGATGATATACTGAACAGAGCTGTACTTACAGTGTGATTTGTAACAGAAAGTAATTAAAGTGAACTTCACAAAATGATATTACCGAACTTGGGAATTCGTTTCGAGACAAAGTCTTGGAAACTGGGCCAAAGAAATGTGGACTTGGTTGCTCGCAAGCAGCGCCCGCCCGCTCTTTAAAGGGAATTGTGCCGCTCTGCGGCAGGGAGCGGCGGAGCAAAAGACGTTTCGTCTAAATATCCCATTTCCTTAAATGGTATGAGAGCTTCACTGGTTTGCGTCGGTGATCGTCGCCATCTTGTGGCCACGCTTCAGAGATCTTCCGAACTCCCTGGCGCCTTCGCCGAAGGTTGCCGTTTAATCATTGTCCACAGGAACCCCGCTCAAGCCCATGTATGCGGTATGGAAAAACTTTGGAGAGCTGGGAACGTAAGCGCTTGGATATATGAACCTTAGTTTGTTTGTTTTTTGTGATATACTTGAAAAAATTCACTGTCATTGCGTGTGCACATACTTTCTACATAATTTCACTATGGGTTGAATTTAGTGTGTATTCGCTCCTGATTTCAAAATGTTTGTTTCCAATTGTGCTAAGAAACCTATTATCATTCTTTTATCAATTGACACCGCAAAAGATATTGAATATAATAGAGACAAGATATTCTGTGTTCTTATATTGTAGACAACAAACAGATAATTGTATAAACAACTTGCACACAAAATATTTACGTAGTAATGTAAGACGTGTTAGAATCTAGTAGAAACCACACTTTTACTAGCAATGTGTGTAAAATAACGTGTGTCAATGTAAAATATTCGCAAGAACGTGAAATATTCACATCATTGCTCAATAATATTAGTATATTTTTCATTTCCTGTGTTCTTGAGAGATCATCTACCAATTAAGACATTTCCTTTAACACAAAATGAGTCTGCCATCGCCCAGAATCAGCGTCTGTTTACGTGCACGTAAACTGATATGGCCATCAATGCCGTAAGGGTAGTCCATGCCGTATCCTGGGAGATTGCAGAGTAGCTCTCCTCCTGGAACGTGAAATACGGCGCCGAAATACACATCTTCTGGCCAGGTTTGCCCTTCCAGACATCTGCCTCAACGGGGCACCACTCTGTCGAGACGAGCTCTATCGCCTACCTTGGCTTTCGATGTGTGTGGTAGTGTGGAGAGTATAAGATGATCGCGTGTGTGTAAGGAGGAAGGAGAGGATAGAACAAGTATCAGGAAAAGGTCGTGTTCTGACATTCGCTTAGTAATGATCGTAGAAACCAAGATCAACTAACGATCAGAGAGCCCGGCAGAATTTTCCTCCAGACAATGGTTTAATGCAACCTTGCTATGTCGAATATCAAAAATCCGCCAGTCTCCGAGCTCGAACCCTAGGAACCTGCGATCAGCGACCCTACGGAGTTCACGACATAGCAGAGCCATTGCAGACGCCCCCACAGGCGAATGCTAGGCTTGGATCGGGCGCGCGAACTCGCGCCAGCCGGGAAGAAAGCGGGGGCGAGCCGATCTTGGCGAAGTCGCGCGTTGGGCTCTGTTCCTGGCGGGCGGCGTGGCCCGGGGCGGGGCGAGGCGTTGGGGACCGTTGCGGGGCGTTGCGGGGTGTTGCGGGGCGTTGCGGGGCGGGGCGGGACGGAGCGGGAGCGGGAGCGGGAGCGGGCGCGCTGCGAGCGAACTAGGGCAGGTTGGAAGAGAGTAGTGAGAGGAAGGGAGGGGGATCTCCAAGTAGTTGAGCGTCGCGCGTAGGAGAACTGGATTTCCATTCTCTCTGGGATGGAGGGGTGCGAGGGATTTTCGGTTGAAACCCCTACAATTCCTACTTCGGTCCTCCCTGAGATTTTAAAGTACGCGTGGCTTAAAAAAATATTGCTTTTTTTAATGAAGTCATTTTAACTAAAAAGGATCCACATCTGTTCCACGTACGTTCAATTTAACCATATAATGTTCGTAATACTTCATTTTATAAGAAGAATACGTATATAAATTTTTTTTTTCAATTTTTGAACTGATATAAAAATAAATGGACCCTAACGATTCCAAGGAAACACATAGGCCTTCCTACGATTGTTTTTTATTCGTTTCTATTTTTTTAGGAATCTGAAAATCGTTTACATTGTTTGATGTGTTTTTTGTTCAAAACCCAATAAAATTTATCACAATTTCAAACTATTCCGTCGCAAACTGATCATTCAGAATATGTTTTGGAAATATTTATCGAGTTTTAATTCATAGTAAAATATAATACTATAATTTATTACTATGTTATGAAGTTTCATAGGTATTTTGATACAAAACGCAGTATATTTTGTCATTAAATACAAATATTGATAGAGAAAGTGGATTTATTTCATTTACAGAAATATCAATTAATTAATTTATGAAACTTGTCAAAAACACAAATAAAATCAAACTCTTAGTGATGGGTTCCAGAGTTCTCTTTGATAATGATTAGAAGAGACCATACCTTGGAATTGCTAGAGTTAACTATTATAAACACCACATATGTACGAATATATATTTACCATTTTAAGTAGCATTGTTTAGTAATCGATTTTATGTATATGATTGACAAACAGTAAACAAAGTAAATAATATAAAATAAAAAATATTATTTTAAAGAAAAATACAAAATACAAAATGAAAATGATGAATGTTTATGAGAATCATAATAATGAGAGTATTCAACTGATTTAGTGTCCTATTCAAAATACAAGATCATAACAAAAAGTAGAATTAAAAGGAGAATTAAAAAAGAATTTATTGTCATTGATCACACACGGTAGTTCATATTCCAGCATTACAGAGACTCATTAAAATTAAAATTTCTATTGTTAATAATGTCAATTAATTTCTGAACCATCAGTGTTAGTAAATACCTAGTCTTGTCGGAGTTACATTTGAAGTCGTGTTCCCTTCCCTGCTCCGAGGCGAGAGTCGCAGCTGGGACAGCTACGGACGGAGGGGCGGGGTGGCATGCAGGGGGAGTGGACGTGGGGAATAGCTTGTCCCAGCGCTGCGACTCTCGCCTCGAAGCAGGGAAGGGAACACCACTTCCAAATGTACTTCCGACAAGACACTATAGGACTAAGTGTTTAAACTATCACTGATGGTTCCAGAAATTAATTGACATATTAACAATAAAATTTTTAATTTCAATGAGCTCTGCCAAATGCTGCGAATATAACTACCGTGTGTGATCAATAACAATAAATTATTTTTATAATTCTCATTTTAATCTACTTATTTGTTATGGATCTTGTATTTTGAAATAGGACACTAAATCAGTGAATTACTCTCATGATTATGATTTCTCATAAACATTCATCATTTTCATTTTGTATTTTTTATTTTTTTTTAAATTAATATTTTTATTTTATATATTTCTTTGTTTACTGTTGTCAATCATTTACATAAAATCGATTACTAGACTAAACAATGATACTTAAAATGGTAAATATATATATTGTACATATGTATGGTGTTTATTAATAGTTAACTCTAGCAATTTCCAAGGTATGTCTTTTTCCTACTCATTAGCAAAGAGAACTCTGGAACCCATCACTGAAAGTTTGATTTTATTGTGTTTTGACCAAGTTTCATAAATTAATAATTGATATTTATGTAAATGCAAATAATATCGACTTCCTCTATCCCCATATTTGTATTAATGACAAAATTACTGCTGTTTGCCATAAAATAACCCTATGAAACTTCATAACAATAGTTAATAAAATTATATATAAATTTTACTATGAATTTCAAACCTAAAATATTTCCAAAACATTATATCTTGAATAATCATTGCGACCGCGAATAGTTTTAAATTGTATACATTTTATTGTGTTTTGAACAAAAAGCACATCCAAACAATAGTAAACGATTTTCAGATTCCCTAAAAAAAAGAAACGAATAAAAAACAATCGTAGGAAGGCCTATTGTCTCCTTGGAATAAGTTAGGGTCCATTTATTTTGATATGAGTTCAAAAAATGAAGAAAAAATAAATTTATTATACTTATTTCTTATCAAATGAGTATTACCCAACATTTATATGATTAAATTGAACGACGTGGAACCAATCTGGATCCTTTTAGTTAAAATGACTTCATTTTAAAAAAAAGCGCTATTTTTAAAGCCACGCGTACTGTAAAATCTCACGAGAAGAGCCGAAGTAGAATTGTAGGGGTTTCACTCGAAATCTTCTGTCTCTACATTTCTTCGAGGCATCTCCCGGCACCCCTCCATCCCAGAGAGAGAATTGGAAATCCAGTTTCGTACGCGCGACGCTCAACTACTGGATACCTACCCTCCCTTCTCTCCTCTTCCAACCTGCCCTAGTTCGCTCGGCAGCGCCAACCCGCTCCCGCCCCCGCCCCGCCCCGCCCCCGCCCCGCCCCGCCCCCGCCCCGCCCCGCCCCGGACCCCGCCGCCCGCCCAGGAAAAACAGCCAACGCGCGAACTTTGCCAAGATCGGCTCGGCCCCGCTTTTCTTCCCGGCTGGCGCGAGTTTTGTACGCCCGATCAAGCCCAGCCATTCGCTGTGTCGCGTCTGCAAGGGGCTCGCTGCGTCGTGGCTCCGCAGGGCCCGCTGATCGCAAGTTCCTTAGAGTTGGAGCTCGGATTTTTTGACATTCGACATAGCAAAGTTGCAATTAAAGCATTGTCTGGAGGGAATTCTGGCGGGCTTCTCTGGGAATCGGTAGTTGCTCTTGGTTTCTACGATCATTACCAGCGAATGTCAGAACACGACCTTTTCCTGATACTTGTTCTACCCGTCTCCTTCCTCCTTACACACACGCATTATCTAAACTCTCCACACTTACACACACATCGAACCAAGGTAGCGATAGAGCTCGTCATCGACAGAGGGTGCCTCGTGAGGGAATGTCTGGAGAGATGTTGAGGGAGATTCGGCCAGCAGATGTGGTATTTCGGCGCCGGATTTCACGTTCCAGGAGGGAGCAACTCTACAATCTCCCGCGATACCGCAATGACTACCCTTTACGGACTGATGGCCATAATCAGTTTACGTGCACGTAAACAGTCGCTGCATTCTGGGCAATGGACCATTATTTTGTTGTTAGAGAACATGTCTTAATTGGTAGTGATCTCTCAAGGAACACAGGAAATGAAAAATATACTAATATTATGAGCCAATGATGTGAATATTTTCAAGTTCTTGCGAATATTTTACATTGACACACGTTATTTTTACACACATTGCTAGTAAAAGTTTGTGGTTTCTACTAGATTCAAACACTCTTACATTTTACCTACGTAAATATTTTGTGTGCAAGTTGTTATACAATTATCTGTTTGTGTCTACAATATAAGAACACAGAATATTCTTGTCTCTATTAATTCAATATTCTTTTGCGTGCAATTGATAAAAGAATGATAATAATTTCTTAGCACAATTTGGGAAACCAAACATTTGAAATCAGGAAAGCGAATACAACACTAAATTCAACCATAGTGAAATTATGTAGATATGGTGCACACGCAATGACCAGTAATTTTTTCAAGTATATTCACAAAAAACAAACAAAACTAAGTTTGCATATATCCCAAAAGCGCTTACGTCCAGCCTCTCCAAAGTATTTCCATACCGCATACATGGGCTTGAGCAGGGTTCCTGTGGGACAAGTGATTAAACGCAACCTTCGCGAAGGCGCCAGGGAGTTCGGAAGATCTCTGGAAGCGTGGCCACAGATGGCGCAGACGATCACCGACGCCAAACAGTGAAGCTCTTCATACCATTTAAGGAAATGGATTATTTAGACGAAACGTCTTTTTGCTCCGTCGCTCGCCTGCGCAGAGCGCACAATCCCTTTAAGCAGCGGGCGCGCTGCTTGCGAGGCAACCAATCCACATTTCTTTGGCCCAGTTTCAAGACTTTGTCCTCCCCGAAACGAATTCCCAAAGTTCGGTAATGATTCATTTTGTGGAAGTTCACTTAATTACTTTCTGTACAAATCACACTGTAAGTACAGCTCTGTTCAGTATATCATTTTCGCTGGAACTTCACGATTCTGCTTGATTAACGACGTGTATCATTAAAAGAGAAGTTTTAAGGATGTAGTATGATTCTACAAAACCATCCCTAGTTGGCATTGAAAGAGCTTGTTAAGGTTAAAACCCAAAAATGCGCTGCAAAAATTAATACATTAATTTATCTTCTTTATTGACTGTTTAAGAATGTTAAATGATGATATACGTAATACTTTAAGAAGTAGTTATTTGTCAAGCGAATGGTACTTATTGCAAGTCATATGAAAAAATTTAAAGTTGTAAAATACAACAGGTTTGAAAAATTATAATTTCTTCTGTCTGACATAACCGCAGTAAAACTCTTCTTAATAAACCAAAATAGGTATTAATTTTATGTATATTCCATTTTTGTAAAATAAAGTGTAAATTGGAAGTAAGAGTTTTTACGACACCGCCAACTCCAGCTCAACCGCACAGCTCCACTCAGCGGTTCGTCCCAACCTCCCCATCTACGATCCGCCAAGCTATCTGAGCTTGCTCTTGCTGTTCTACCGCATCGTGCACTCCCTCCAGCCCCTCCACACCTCTTCTCGCGATCCTCCCCCAAAAAAGTCCTGTATATGGAAGGTAAGAGGGAGGAGGAGAAGAAATAAAGTCACAGAATTAGACGATTCCTCAGTTTTCACTTTCAATTTTGTACTGAATGAAACCCCAAGCGAAATGAAAATGGACGAAATCGTATGCCAAAAATTGAAGTCATAAGTGTTTTGAAAAAGAACAGCATCACGTGTAAATATAATGGAAAAGTAATTTAATAAGCCAGAAAAAATTTAATATGTTTTAATACAGGAATATTATATCCTAAATATCGCTCATTAGCAAACACAAAGTTGATAAATCATGTTTTATTCACTTTTAAAAGCCAATAAAAATACACCATACTCAAAAATATGTACGAAAAAGTTACAAAAAAAAATGTGCAAACAAATTGCGGAAACACTGATGTATTGTGTTATTTACGTTTTTGTAAAGGCATATGATAATTGCCCAAATAAACGATATGTGGGACATTATATTTGTAAAATTTGAATAAATTGAGTCAAATTTATTTATATTTGACGAAAAGTGCAAACAATCAGGTTAATGTAATCTTACTGTTCCGTAGAAATTTTAAAGCTCTTGGTCCGAATTCTGAACTCCAAAGTTGCCTTAAGGCGGTCTCCACACATTCGCCAAGTTTGCGGGCGGACGTTCTTCCAATCCTGAACAGTGATGTGATTGGCAAATGTTCGCTTCCTTGATTGGTGAAAAGGACCGACACGCGGTAGGTAGGCGAGTAGCCGCAGTTTGTCGCTCGGCAAATGGCAACGACTCGCTCCACACCACGCAGCGAGATTCGGCGAACGGTCGCTCGCCACGAATGTGTAGAGCCGCCTTTATTCCTTGGCGACGAACTCTATTTTGATTGAATTGGGGCGATGGAATTGAAGCCGGCGCCGCGGTGGTTGCAGCCAAGTCACGTCGCAGCTGGACGAGCCCCGCGCGCTGCAGCAGTACCGCGACGCGGGGCGGGGGCGGTGGCGCAGCCTGGCCGGCGGCGGCGCGGAGGCTGCGGGGCGACTTGCCCGCGCCACGGCGCCACCCCAAGAACGTGAGTAGCCGCCCTCGCCCCTCCCCTCCCCCCCTCCCACCTTCCCAGCTCCAATCGGAAGCGTTGCTCACGCCAGCACGTCTGATGAAAGGTGAAACTCAAGCTACAACTTGAGTAAACTCTTTAATGCGTCATGCTGTTCTTCCAGGTGTGGCCAAGTTTACTTCAACCTCCAGTTGGTGAGGAATCATACCAGATGTCAAGCGAATTTCTCCTGTATGCCATGTGGAGATGGATAGTCGCACACTGAGTTAGGTGTCGCGATAAATTCCCTTTCTGTTTTTAACACGCGTTAGACTGGGCATTCCATACAAACTATTGCTTTGTATATACGAAAAATGTTGGAAAAAACGTTTCACAGAAATGGATAAAACTAATTTTTCAACATTCCCTATTTTAATGTGTACGAATGAAGTAAAATCGAATGATTTAATGCAATTTAGTACTTTTATTCTTAACACTGATAAATATTTGAGAAACTGTGCAAGAATGTTCTGGAACATTGGTGCTAATTAAAGTTCACAGGTTGTTGTTTTTCACCAGCCGCTCGCCCCTTATTCTGCTCCCTTTAAATGTTTTTCCAGTTTGAGTTAATTTCGGAAGAATCTAGAATGTTGTTATGTGTTTTTTCCTTTAATACGAAAAACACTGAAATGTGAAAAGGATGAGTATAAAGCATTTTCGCTCACGTATAATACTGAAAACACTTCACATTGGTGATTATTTTAATTGAGTTTGTTGTTAATTAGCTGAAATCCCGGAAAAGAATTAGACCCAAAATATTTTAATGAAATATAAAAAGCTATATACTGCTCAAATAAAATAGCGAACACATTCCAGAATTATCAATCTTATAAGGAGTAATTTTTAGACAGCAATTTTGAAACTCTGTTTCAGAAGCACTACCTAATTCTAAAAATTCACTTGGGACTGATATCCCCCATTGTATTATTTGTGGCTTTTCTTCTCACGTCATCGTATTTCTGCACCTGAGCGGTCGCGGTCCGTGTCGAAACACAACAGAAAAAGAAGTCCCGTGCGAGGGTGAAGGGGGAGAAGGGCGCGACGAGCGAGCGAACAGTGTCGCCGGGTCCATATTCTGCAGCATCGAACGAAGGCGCTGGTTATGAATTTCAGCAGAGACAACGGATGCGGATGGCGAAGACGCGCTATCAGAATCTGAAATATCCAATATAGCGCTCTGCCAGGGAGCGGCTCTCGGCTCCCCCGGATGTAATAAAGTGTACTAGCG